ATATCACGCGAAACTCGTCGTTAAAAAAAAAATAAAAATGGCTGCCGTACAGGTTTTAAAAATATTTTCAATAAAAATAGTATACGAAAAAGTCAAACTATAAAACAAACAATTCTAAACAGTTTGTTTAAATAAAAAAACAAACAAAACAAACGATGACGAAATATATAAAAAAAAAAAAAATTAAAAATGGCGGCACTTTGGAAAAGTTTACGACGACGAATAATCAAAACACGCACAATACGCACGCACACGCATACTTAACAACGTTTGCACTCGATTCGATTAATTTCGATGGTTTTTATATATCGATACATAAATTAAATTAATTATCGACGTGAAATTCAATTTTAATTGAAAAAACCTTTTTTGTAAAATTATTATTATTATTATTATTATTATTATTATTATTATTATTATTATTATTATTATTATTATTATTATTTCGTGGTCGTCGAATCGTGATTTTAAATTTTAAACTTTCTTTTTCATTTTATAATTTAATTTTTAAGGTTTATTAAAAGGTTTAAGAAAGTTAATGTGCTTTCGTAAATGATAATAATAATAATAATATTTCTTTTCTTTTTTTTCGGGAGGGAGGGGAGGGAAGAGGGGAGAAGATTTCACTCAGTTTTCACTAGTTTTCTTTCTTTCTTTCTTTGTTTAAACATTTTTGTTTGTTTTTAATAATAATATTTGTTTTTAGTTAAAACCTTTAAGGGATTTATTTACGATCGTATTAAAAAGGTTTTGTTGGTAACATTGATCGTTTGCTTAATAAAACAATAAATAAATAAATAAATAAAAGAAATCATAGAGTAAATAAATAAAAGGTAAAATAAAATAAAAAAAATGTTTGAAAATAATTAAGAGATGATAAAAAAAGGACGACGAACAATTCAATTCATTTTTTTTTTTTTTTTTTTTTTTTTTTTTTTTTAAACGAAATCAATTTTGTCGAGATTTTTTTTTTTTTTAACGGGGAAGGAACTAAAACGTTTTTAACAAAAAAAACTCGTTAATGACACGTTCGTTTAAAAAAAAAAATCACTAAAAAAAAATTTTTTTTTCGAGTGGAAAAAACGAATAAAAAAAAAAAGAAAAAAAAGAAATTTAAGTTGACGTGTCATTAACTAAAAACAATATTTATATAATAATAATAATAATAATTTTTCCCGTTTTAAAAACGGAGATTAAAATTGAAAAGGGAATGATGATGATGATGATGATGACAATAATAATAAATTTTTTTTTCGGACGGAAACAATGCAAAAGTATAAAGTGCAAAGGGGAAAAAAAAATTGTGAAGAGAGGGAGGGGGGACGGGAAAGAGGAAAAGAAGGAAGGAAGTGGAAAAGGAAATAGGAGACAAAAAAAATAAAAATTCATTCCACGTCATTCACCTTCGTTTGTTCAAGCTTTATTATTATTATTATTTTTTTTTTTTATTAGCCGAAAAAAAAAATGGAAAAAAAATGAAAAAAAATTTTTTTTTTTACGTCGAATCGTAATAATAATAATAATAATAATAATAATAATAATAATAATAATAATAATAATAATATAAATGATAAAAAAAATTGAAATTCAAAAGGGATGAAAAAATAATAATAAAAATAAAAAACTGACGGGGCAGCAGAAAACACGATTGGAAACGAAAAACATACTAAATAAAATTTAATATTATGAAAATTCCCAAAGTGTAAATTAAGTTTTTTTTCCAGAAAAAAAAGAAAAAAACCGGAAATAAATTTTTTTTTACACGTAGTATTAAAAACGAACGACGCGTAATTTTTTCAAAGATCTCCAAGTCAACTTCCGGTTTTTTCCAGCACGAAATAATATTTTTTTTTTTGTAAAACGAAACCGAATTTTTTTTTTTTTCCTCTCTACATATAAATAATTATTTAGGGAGAAAGGACTTGAAATTTTTTTTTTTTTAAATGGGGAGAAATAAAAAAAACACGTTTTCGAGCCTATTTCCACGCCCCCTTCCTCTCCCCAAAAAGAAAATAATAATAATAAAATTCGAGATATCGAATTATTAAAATCGAAATTTATTTATTTATATTTTTCCATTTTTTTTTTTTACGATTGAAGAAAGTTTGAAAAGGGGAGAAGTGGGAAAAAAGGGGGGAAATTATGGGGAGCCGGGGAAAAAAACCTTTTTTTTAAATTTAAAAAAAAAAAATCGATATTCCGATCGATACAATTTTTTTTTAATTAATTATAAATTAAAATTTATGTACGACTGTGAAATATATTCATAAGGAATAATACTAACTCACTCTGTAAATAATTTATTAAGACGTTTTTTTTTTTTTTATTAGGTTGCTCGTTTCCGGAAACGGATGGAAAACACGTGGAAGTACAAATAATAATAATAATAATAATAATAATAATAATAATAATAATAAAATTTTGTTTTTTAATTTTCTTTAACGGTTTTTATCGAAATCAAAATGATAATAGTAATTAATGCTCAAGAGAATAAAAATTTCATTATTTTTTTTTATTCCTCCCTATCGACCTACCGCCCTTCCCCTCCCCTTCCCCACCGATTCCCCCGCTCCTCCTCTGGTAAATAATTTTTTTCTTTACAACGTGATTTATCCCCCATTCCGTTGTGATTTCACTCATCCCCTTTTAAACTCCTCCTCCTCCTCCTTTACATGATGAGAGAATCTTCGTAGCACCGCCCTCAAATCACCTTTTTCCCCCTTCCCTTTTTATTCCCCTCCCCTTTTCTTATTATTTTCTATTTTTTAAATTCCCCACCTTTTTTTAATGTTTGTTTCTTAATTCTTCCCCTTTATTATAATTTCTTTCTTGATTTTTTTTCTCCGTTCATTTACCCCCACTTTTTACTTCCCCTTTTTTTAAATCACCCTTCTCATCCCCTCCCTTTTATCTTCCTTCTTTGTCTTTTTAAATCGTCACCTTCTCCTTTTTTTTTAATTCTCTCCAGTTTTTTTCTTTATTTTAACTCTCTTCTTTTTTTTTTAAATCTCTTCTCCCACTATTTATCAACCCCTCTTTTCGTCTCTTTTTTTATTATTTACCTCACTCCATTTTCCACTCCTTCGTTTCCCTCCCACACCTCCTCCCACAATTTTTTTTAAACGAATACCATCAGGTGAAGTTTACGTGCGTCGTCAATTTCATTAATATTCTATTAAATTTATTTCATGATGTTTTTTTTCCGCGGGTCTTTTCTCCACGAGGTCCCTGCGTGGTCCCCCCCCCATCGGGGTCTTTAAAATAATTAAAATTTAATATTAAAGTTTCATAAAGACTCGTTTAAATTTTATTTTTGTTGTCGTCATTTTTTTTCCTGCATTCGTTAACAATGCATTTTTATTTCCCCCCCCCTTCCGCCCCAACAACCGCCGACAGTTATTTTTTATTCGCTATATAAATAATACGAAGCGTGTGTTTTGTGTGTAAGCGGGGGGCAAATTCTATCCTCTCGTGGGGGTCTCATTATTTTCATTTTTTATTTATTTTTTTTTTCGTTTTTTAAATCGAAACGAACGACCATTTTTCCCCCCGCTTTAAAAATCACCATTCGTCTCCTCATTTTATCATTTATATATATATTTATTATTATCATCAATGAATGACGAGCGATGAGTGGGGGGGGGACGGAGAGATTATAAAACGAATGAAAAATATTTTCAAATTAATTATTATTATTATTATTATTATTTTAGCGTAAGATAAGTTTTTCATTGTTTTTATTCACGTCGTTTACGACGTGAAAATTCACATTGTAAATTTTTAATTCCCCTTTATTATCATTATTATCATTATTATTATTATTTTTCCTGTCGCTATCTCACACATTAGATTTTCATTGTTTTCATTTTTTTTTTTCTTTTTCAGGGTCCCCCATTTTATTAAATTTAACTCTCTTTTTTTTTTTTCGTCACTTTTGTTCCATCCGATCCTCTTCTCTTCTCCATTTTTTTTTTCTACCGCCACGTCATATTTCATACTTACTTTTTAAGTTTCCTTTTTCGTAATCCTATTTTCACACGTTCCGTTTTATATTTCCATTATAATTTTTTTTCTTTTTTTTTTTTTCTTTTCTTTCATTTTTTTTTTTTGTGATTCTCAAATTTAACTTATGACGGTGAGATGATGATGATGATGATGATAATGATGATGATGATGATTCCGTTATTCCAACGCTTTGAAAAAAAAAAAAATGATTCAAAAGGAAAAGGTGGAATAAAACAGAGAATGGAGGGAGGGAGGAAGGAGGGGAAAAGAGAATGAAAAAGAAAAAAAAGAAATAATAATAATAATAATAATAATAATAATAATAATAATAATAATAATAATAAAATAATAATAATAATAACACTCGGGTTTCCGCGGAACAAAATAAAAAAAATGAGGAAAATCTTTTCATCTTATTTATTATTTATTGTTGTCATATAAACAATTATTTTCATTTTTTTTTTTGGGGGGGGGAGGGATGGAAAAGAAAAATGGCGTCCGATTACTTTATTTTTATTTTATTTTATTTATTTATTCCCGACCATAATCATGATCCCGATAAATAAATTTTAAGGAAAACCGGGAATATGGCGGCGGCGTTAAAACGTTTGTCAGTTTTAATAAAAAAAAAAATTTTCTTTTTGTGCGGTTAATTATACGAACGCATAAATAATTTTGTACGTGAAATAAAAAAAAAGGAAAAAAGGAAAAAGAAAAAAAAAGTTTCCAAACAAATTTTTCCTTTGCCAAAATACAATTGAAATTGAAACGAGTAAAAAATGTTTGGCAAAGGAATCGTACGAGGTGTGGGGGTGGGAGTGGAAGTGGGAGGAGGAAAGAAAAGGAAAGGAAAAAAAAGGAAAATTGATATCTAAATCAATTTTCTAATTTTAAAAGGGCATAAATTTTTTTTTTTAAAACGATTAACGAAAGCAGAAGATAAAAATTTTTTTTTTTTTCCTACAGTTGGTAATGATTGAAATCGTTATTAACAAATAAAAAAAAAATAATTTTTTTTTTTATTAAAACTTTGTAATTAAATTTTTTTTTTAAAAGTGACGAATAAAAAAAAAAAATCCCGAACCGGATACGGAAGTTCCGGAACCTGTCTGTCTATTCGTAGTCAATTAAAAACTCGAAAAAAAAAATTATTAATAATTAAAAAAATTTCCCAGACGGTGATAAAATTATTATTATTATTATTATCATCATTATTTTATAAAAAATATTATTTTATCATAGAGTAAAAAAAAAAAAAAAATTTTTTTCATCTAATTACACGTCATTTTTTTTTTCACTTCGTGATTATTTTTTCTTCACGTTTCGATAGTTTTTCTTTAATTAATTAATTTAAATATAGATGTCTCTAGCGTAGCATAAAAATAATTTTTAAATTTTTTTTTTTTTTTAGGCGCGATATTCACGGAAGATCAAAAGGAAACGAGCACGGAATTGGCATTTAAATACGCAGTTTATAAAATAAATAAAAATAAAAATTTTTTACCTAATACCACGTTGGTTTACGACATACAATACGTGCCACGTGACGATAGTTTTAGAACGTCGAAAAAAGGTAAGAAAAATCAAATTTTTTTTTTTTCAATTCAATTTTTTAATGTCGGATAAATGGGGCGGGAAAAGAGAGAAAGAGAGAGAGAATGGGGGTGCGTGTGTGTGCGTGAGGTGTGAGAGGGATTGGGAAAGGGGAAACACGATTGGAGGAACGGGATAATGAAAATTTTGAAATACGAATTCGTATATAATAAAATTAATAAAATTTACTACGTTGAAAACGTGTGAAATTTGAACGGAGAAAGGAAAAGAGAGAGATAAAGAGAGAGAGAGATAGACGGTAACTTTTACTACATACATATTTATTAAGAGAGAGAGAGATGGAGAAAATTATTCTCTGCCACGTTTTTATTTGAAAACTTTGTTGCTGTACAAAAGAAGTGTTTACAACTTGATTCCGTACGTTCCGTACGTTCCGTGATCCTTTTTACGTTTCATGATGATGATGATGATGATGAGTAAATTTTATTGTTTTGTCCTTTTTTTTCTGTCTTTTGTCTACTCGACTCTATTATCATTCGTCTCTATCTATCTCTCTCGTGATAAATTTTTAATAGAAAAAAATAATAAAAATAAAATTTAAATCGTTCGCCATTTTATTTTTGTTAAACGTTTTCGTTTCCGTTTTGTTCTTAACGTACACATGTACATTTTTTATCTCTCTCTCTCTTTTTCCTTTCTTCTCACTCTTTCTATGTTATTCTTTGTCTCTCTTCTTTATTATTTTCTCTCTCTCTCATTATTTTCTTTTATTCTTTTCTTACTTTTTCTCTTTTCCTCTCTCCTCTTTTTTTTCTTTCAATCAATCTCTCTTTCTCTCTCTTTTATTCTTTATCTTTTTCTCTATCATTCCCTCTTTGTCTTTTTTACCCTTTCTCTCTCTCTTTTTGTTTTCCTTACACTTTCTTTATCATTTTTTCTGTCTCTCATGACTCATCAATTTTCTTCTTTTTTTTTCTTCTTTGTTTCTGTCTTTCTATTTTTCCCTCTCTCTCTCTCTTTCTTTCTATTTCTTTCTCTCCCACCATGCCTCCATTTTTTTTCTTTCTCACTCTCTGTCTCTCTCTCTCTCTTTTTCTATTCGTTTTTAATTTTTTTCCACTTAAATCCGATTTAAATAATAATTTTAAAATCGTTTCGACATGTAAAAAAAACGGAAATACATAATTTATGTGTTTATTCGGCGTTAATCATAACCGGAAGTAGAATTTTTCTTTAACTTATCAATTTGATGTTCTTGTTTATTTTAAATCTACCACCACGTTAAAATTTTTTATTAATTTTAATTTAGAATTTTTTTTTTTTTTTTTTTTTTATTCTCGAATATTCTCAAATCCGATTTTCGTTTTAATTAACGTTTTTCCCCCTTCTCCCTACCCTCCTTTCTCCCCGGAAGAGGAAAAGAATCGACGGATATTGGATAAATTTTTATTTTTATTTTTTTTACATTTTCTCATAATCGAACGTTTAAATTAAAAAATTTTTGACTCTGATACACGCATACCAACATAAAGTAAAAAAAAACAAATTCCCGTACGGGAAGTAACCGAGGATGAGGAGGAGGAAGAGGGGAGATATGGGAGGGATGAGAGGGGGAGACAACATAAAAATAAAAAAACCTTTTGATGATTTTTTTCTTTTTTTCTTTCATGGAAAAATAAATCATATCACGAAAATTTTATTTTATTTTCTGGTTCCACGATTTTTTTTTATTTATTTATTCATTTATATTTATAAATATTTACATTTTTCTCTCTGTCTCTGTCTCTCTCTCTCTCTCTCTCTCTCTCTCTCTCTCTCATTTCACGAAATGTCATTGTAAAGAAAACAAATGAAATGTTTTTTTTTTTTTTTTTTTGCAAAAAAAAAAAAGAGAAAAAAAAGGAAGGAGAAAAAAAAATTATGCAATTTATATTTCATATTCTTCTTCTTGTTAGTTTTACTTTTTTTAAAAATATTTTTTAACCCACGAAAAAGGAAAAAGAGAGAGAGAGAGATAGTAAAAAAAAAGAAAAGGAAAATGCGTGAGGAAAGGCGTCGAAATAAAATTTAAAAACTTTTTTTTTATCCATAAACTTTTTTTTTTTTTTTGTGTAAAACGTTAAAAAACTTTAAAAATTGTTTCGTTGATGATTTTTTGACATGGAAATTTCAATTGAAAATCTTACGGTTAAATAATTTTATTGAATGCACATAAAAAAAAAATTTTTTTTTCAAATGTTGGCACTCTTTTTTTCCATTTTTTTTTTTTTTTAATTTTTTACGATTTGATGATTTTTATTGGTGAAAATTTTTTTTCTGCTTTTGTTTCGTTTTCTGTTTTTTAAATAAATTTCTGAACAAAATTGAAAGGTGACGTTTTAATGGAACGGTGGTGGTAAGTTGATGACGATGATGGTGATGATGATGATGAAGATATAAATGATGATGATAATGATGTAGGTGGCGGTGGCGGTGATGATGATGACGATGGTGTTGGTGACGACGATGATGATGATAATGGAGTAAATGATGACGATTATAACGATGACGATTATAATGATAATGACGACGATGGTGATGATGGTGATACTGATGATGATGTGAGTGGCGGTGGCTGTGATGCTCATGAGGATGACGATGACGATGATGATGGTGTTGACTATGATGATGAAGGTGCAAAAGAAGACAATGATGATGATGATAATGACGATTATGATGAAGGTGTAATTCATGATGATGATGATGAAGGTGTAAATGATGATGATGATGATGATGATAATGTAGAAGATGTAAATAATGATGATGATAATTATAGTGGCATGCCGTCATCAATTCTCTTTCTATCCCGAAGTGACTCCCATCGGGTTTAACACGAGAACAAAACAAAAATTCAACCATAACAATTCCCGTTCTTCCTGTTAACCCGAACCAATTCCTGAACCTATTTACTCCACAGGTATCCTCACTATATATTACACTGGTATCCTGTTCACACTGAGCACTCTCACAAATCCTCCCTAAAGTCCAGTTCAGGAATAACCTGGACTCAAAAATACTAACGAGAATTGATATCTCAGTTTAAATACTCAACACCCCGACATTCAATTATTAATCCCTAAGGATAAAAACCTGGAATAAATTTTCTTTTTTTTTAACAATAATAATGATAATAATTATAAGGATAAAAAAACAAACAAACAAACAAGCAGAGGGAAAAAAAAGAAATTCGGTTGTTTACAAAAAAAAAGAAATTCCGATTCGTTTATTTATAGTCTATAACGAAAATCTATATACTTTAATGATGATAATAGTAATGATAATAATGATAATAAAACATTCGTTAAAATATTTTTTCTTCATTTAGCTTATATAAAAAAAAAAAAAAGAAAAATTTATCGTTTTTTAAAGGTATGTGAAAAACAAACAATAATAAATGTTCACAATAAAATTAATTTATTGCAAATACCGAATTTTTATTGGTTAATAAATTTTTCTCTTTTTTTCCAACGTTGCCATTTTTATTTTTAAAAAAAGGATTGATAAATACATATGTTCTTATTAATTTATTTATTTACATATAAGTCCATAATATATGTATTTAAAAAAATGTTTTTAATTTTTTTCTCCAGTAAAAAAAAAAAAAAAATACGTCGACTGGAGGAATTCATCATCTTAAATAAAATCGATAAAGTAAAAGAAGAAAAAGAAGAAGAGGAGGAAAGAATGGCCTTAGGATAAAATTTGGTTTTGAAATTAAGTTGTTGGGAAAATGAAAAAAAAATGAGGGGAGGGAGAAAAGAGAGGGGAGGGGAGAATGGATGGAAAATTCCGGATGAAATTTACGATAGGGAAACGTTATAAAAACGAGTTTAAAAAAAAAAATGGCGAAGGAGAAGTTAATGGTGGTGGTGGTGGTGGTGGTAGTGGTGAAAATGAGAGTTACATTTACAAAAAGAAAAAGTTCTTTTCTGAAGAAAAACCTTTTTTTTTTTTTCAGAAAGAAAAGAAAAGAAAATTTTCTTTTTCTTTTCATTCCTTCGGGGTGTTTAAATTAAAAAAAAAAAATTCTCATTGTAAAAAAGGTGTCTGTAGAAAAAAAAAAAAAATTTTCTTTTGTTTAATCCTTTCTTCCCCTACCCACCCCTCCCCTTCACCTTCCTCCGCCCCCCTCCGAAAGAAAAGCAGAAAAAAAGAAAATATCTATTTTATTCAGACGAATATCAATTAATTAATAATTTTACGCATTTAAATAATTTTTTTTTCCTGGAATTTTTTTGGAGAAAAAAAAATTGGTTACCTCCACGGTAAAAAAAAAACATTCGAATTGATGATAATAATAATAACAAAATTTCTCCAGTGATTCAAAGGAAAAAAAAGTTAAAAGGAAGAAAAGGAAAAAAAGATTATTTTTGTATTTTTTTTATTTTTCGTCCATTGAATCCAAAATTTTGTGACGTCATAAAAGAAAATCTTTTTTATTATTTATCCGAGAAAATTATCCTCGGCAGTCAATTCTTTTATTTCTTATTATCACTATTATCATTGTCGTCGTTGTTTTCGTCGTCGTCGTCGTGGCAATAGACAAATTTTATTTATTTTATTTTTAAATTAAATTAAAATTTTTTATCAAACCGATTTTTTTACAATTTCGTGAATTTTTTTTTTTTTAATAATATTTCGGCGTGGGGTGGAAGTATATAAACAAATTTTGACAAACAACAAACAACAACAACAACAACAAACATAAACAATTTACCAAAAAAAAAAAAAAAATTTAAAAGACGGTTTAAAATACATCCTATAAAATATACCTTTTAGTTTTAGTTTTTATTTTCCTTTTTTTCCCTTTTTCCTTTTTTTTTTTTCTTTCGATTCCTTTTATTTCAATAAAATATATATAAAAGGAAAGTGAAAACTTTTTTTCCCCTCTCTCTCTCTCTCTTTCCTTTCCTTCCTTTTTTCTTTTTTTTTTCACACGAAAAAATACCGTTAAAACTTTTACTTGTAAATGCTTAATGGAGTGTAAATATTTTCTTTTTTTTTTTTTTTTTTTTTTTTCCTAACAATCATTTCACTATATTTGTGCGGCGGACTTATTTCTATTTTTATTATTATTATTATCATCATTATTATTATCGTCGGTTTTTTTTTTTTTTTTACAATTGAAATCGTCGTTCATTTTCCGGGAATTTTAAACCCAAATGTTCCGGATGAATGTATGTATTAACTTAACGTTATGTTTTTTATATGAAATGATTTTATTATTATTATATTATTATGGACTCGTAGAAATTTCCAGCATTCGTTCCAGGATTTACAGGAGAAAAATGCTAGAGAGCCGTGAACACACAAATAAAAAATTTTCTTCGAATTCGCGTTCGGTGTGTGAGTTGAACAGCAGCTTCCGGTAACTTTATCTTATTTAATTTTATTTCCCCCATCTTAAAACGTTTCGATTTATGTTTCGGGAATCTACGATGATATCCGGTTTGTCAACTGTCACGTTTCCGGTTTTCTTTCCATAAAAAATTATCCACGGATCACGATTGTACCCTCCATTTTTCCGTTCCGTAATTAAACAATCCAATTTACCAACCAACCGAATATTAAATGATAACAATCATCATTATTATTATTATCATTATCATTGGTTAATCCGGGGTAAACATTTTAAAATTAATAATAATAATAATAATAATAATAACAAAACATGACCGTTTTTATTGTTTGCTGCTGCCGTCGTAGTCGTCATCGACGCCGTCGCCGCCGCCATACTTAATACTCTTTTAATTTTATCCAAATATTTTATTTAATCCGTTTTTTTTTTTTTTTTGTATTGAGATTATCCCGTTCGGATTAAAGTTTTTAATCCAATAAAAAAAATAAAATAGGGGCTTTTTCTTTTTTTGTTAATCCTTCCTTAATCGCATTTTTATGTTTTTTTTCGCGTAACCGAACAACGTAAAAAAAAAAAAACAAATCGAATTTCGATGACGTCACTTTATTAATTAACGATGATGATGATGATGATTTAAATGATGATATCGATGATGATAATAATGGTGGGAATGATGATGACGATCATGATAAAGAAAATGACGAAGATGATGATGATGGTGGTGGTGATGATGATGGTGGGGATGATAAAGATGTTCTTGATGATGATGATGATAATGTAGGAGGTGGTGATGGTGATGGTGATGATGATGATGATACTGATAAGAAAATTACACGGATTCAATTATCTTTCCTTCAGAAAGTAAAAATTTTTTCTTTTGACTCCAAAAACAAGTTTTAATCCTTTTTCTTTTCTTCTGCTTTTCTTTTTTGTTCGTCAGTCATTTTTTTTTTTAAAAAGGAAAATTTTAAAGTTTTTAAATCCTGGATAATCTGAATTTAAAATTATTTAGTTTACTGGAGAAAATTTTTAAAAAGAAACTTTAAAAAAAAAAAAAAGACAAAAAGGATAAAAAAAAGAAAGAAATTAAAACGATAAAAGAAAGTAATAATAATAATAATGATAATTCCTCGTTGTTGTTATTATTATTATTATTACCATTGTTGTTGTTGTTTTTGTTAATGTAATAACGTTTAAATAAAAAAAATTTTCTAACGGGATTTGTTTTCTTGTTTGTTTGTTTGTTTGTTTTTTTTTTTGTCTTGAAATTTTATCATTCATCGTCACCGCCTTTAAAAAAAAAGTTTTTTTTTGTCGTGGCAAATAAAAAAAACATAAAAATTTATTTTATTTATTACAAGAAAGAGAGAAAAAAAAGTTGTTCGGGTGGGGGGGAGGGGAATTTTTTTTTATTCGTCACTTTGTAAACTTTTTTGTCAGTTTACAAAAATAAAAAAAAAATTTTTTGAAGTTTTTTATTTTTTATAAAATTTAAATAACGACGACCTTTCATTTATATAAACCTTTCTTTCTTGCCTTCTCTCTCTCTCTCTCTCTCTCTCTCTCTCTCTCTCTCTCTCTCTCTATCAAAAACAAGAATAAAATTCGAATATAAAATATTTCAATTTTTTTTATGAATTCCAGACAATAACAATCGAGGACAATTTTTTTTTTTTTTTTTAAATAATTATTTTAATTTTATTTCTGTCATTTGTACAAAAAAAAAAGAAAACTTTCAACAACAGAAGTTTAAATAAGAAAATTTTCCGACAAAAAAAATTTAAATTTAATTATAATTTATTTTCCTTTCGAAAAAAAAAAACCCAAAAAATGTTACAAAATTATTATTATTATTTAAATCTGACGGTTTTATTTTTATTCCCGTAGTCCTTACTCCTCCTCCTTTTTTTGGCCTTTCCTTCGTTACTCCCCTCCCCCTCTAAAAAATCTAATCAACAATAATAAATAATAATAATAAAATCGAAAATAATTTGTTTTTTTAATTTTAAAACGTTAAAAAGAATTTTATAGGAAACATTGTAAGAAGAAGTAAGGGAAAATTTTTAGGCGTGGAAGGAGACAAGGAAAATGTTTTTCATCAACGAGAATCTGACAAACGTTAGGAAAACTTTTTGTAAAAAAAAAAAAAAAAAAAAACCAATTACATTTATGCATGTGCCATTTTTATGTAAAAATTACAAAATTAAAAAAAAAAAAAAGAAAATTCAAAAGAGAGAGAGAGAAAGAGAAAGATTTAATTTCAGTTCCTGACAGGTGCAAAAGTTAATAATATTATTTTTTTTATTTTTAAAAAAAATATTGAAAGGAAAACGGGGAAGAAGAAAAGAAAAGAAAAAGGTTGAAGTAAACAAAAAATAATAATAAAATTAAAACGTTTTCATTAAAGGATCGAAAACGGTTCGTTAATCGATTGATAGATGGATATAATAGACACAATTGAATGAGAGATGAATGAAAAAGAGGGGAAGTGAGTGAGGGGGAGGAGGAGGTAAAGTATTAATAAAAAAAAGGGAGGAGAAGTTAAACTAAAGAGGGAGAAGATTAAAAATAATTAATGGGAAGGGGAAAAAAATAAGAATGAAAAAAAAATAAAATAAAAGAGGAGGGGAAAATTAAATTATTGTAAAAAAAAAGGAGGATGAAAATGGGCGGGGAAAAAAGGGGAGGAAATCGTGTAAATAAAAAAATTTATTTACGTAATAATAATCATCTTTTTTCCAGAGTGTAATATAAACATATACGCACTCGCGTAAATCAAAAGTTATCAGTTTAAATAACATTTCATGGAATTCCAGGAAAATTCCAGTACGGTTTTTTTTCCATTCGAGTAATAATAATAATAATAATATTCGAATAATAATTCATTGGGTTTTTTAAAATGACTTACTTAGTAAAAAATTTTTTTAATAAAATAAAAAGAAGAAAAAGAAGGGGTACGAAGAAGTCGGGTTCCAGCGGCAAAAAAAAACTGGAAAAAAAATCTGGATAAAAAAAAACATGAGTAAATAAATGAAAAAAAAAAAAAAAGTTAATAAAATTCTCGTAGACGTAATAAAAACACTAAAAAAAAAAAATCGTCGGTCGAATGTCATGTCGAGTAAAAATGAAACTCGTCGCTGGAACACAAAGTTCCAGTAAAATAATTTTTGTACATGGCAGTCGGGACGAGTAAAGTTTTATCTTTAACATGTCCATCATTTTTTCCATTTTTTCCAGTTTTTTTTTAAAATTTTAATATTATTTTTTAAGTTTAGTCGTTGATAAAAAAAAAATTCGTTCCAGAGCGCGCGAAAAACTTTTAATTTATTAAGTAGTAAATGAAATTATTTTTTTTAAACAATTACGATACTTTCTTTTCTTCCTTTTCCGGTTATGTTATTTAAACTTGTCCCTCCTCCTCCCCCCATTTTTAAATTTTGAATTTCGACCCCCATTTTTAAGAAAAAAATTTACGAAAAAATTAATTAGATTAAACGATGATATTTTTTCTCAATATGTTTTTCCAACCCATCGCCTCCCACCTCCACCTATTTTTGTTTTTTTTTTGACCAATCAAAATTTAGGAAATTTTTCTTAAACGATAAGTGGGAGGGGCTTATAATTTTTAAAAAATTTTTCCACGTGGAATAATAAACAAAAAAAAAATAAAAAATTTTTCCTTACGTGAATTAGATCACGTCCTTCGTAAATTTACACAACAGTTTTTTTTTGCTGTTGCTGTAGCTCTTTTCAATTTTTTTCTCCTCCCCCCTTTCCCCTCCTTACGTTTTTTTTTCTCAAAACTCCTGTCGTCGAACGTTTTTGTTAATAAGATTCCCGTTTTTGCTTTATCTCCTTTTATCTTTTTTTTTTTTTTAGTTCTCTTCCTTTCGTTTTTTTTTTTTTTTTGTATCGAAAAAGCACAAACACGTTTTTTTGATTTCTCTCTTTCTCTCTCTCTCTTTTTCTTTCCCTCCGACTTTTCATTAAGTTAAAAAAAAAAAAAATATGGCGGAACGACTTCAAGACTCTTTCAATTAACTTATATTCATTTTACTTAAATGTTAATAATAAAAATTGAGTAAAAAAAAAAAAACTTTTTCCTTCCTTCCCTTCGTCTGTCCGCCATTTTTTTTTTTAATTTCTTATTCGTCAAAATCTGTAACTGACGTTTTAAATTTTTTTTTTTTTTAAGCTTGTCGCCAACTTGAAAACGGAATTCAAGCAATTTTCGGACCGACTGACCCACTTTTAGGTGCTCACATTCAATCCATATGCGAAGCATTAGATGTTCCACACATGGAAGCGAGACTCGGTAATTTATTAATTTATTTTTAAACAATTATTTATTATCATTATTATTATTATTATTATTATTACGTAATGTATATTTACAGATTTCGAACCGTTTTTAAAAGAATTTTCAATTAATTTACATCCGAGTCAACAACATTTAAATAAAGCATTTCAAGATTTAATGATTTTTTTAAATTGGACCAAAGTTGCCATTATTTACGAAGAAGATTACGGTGAGTTATCATCATCATCATCATCATTATTATTATTTCAATTAATTTTCCGTTCGAAAAACGTGATTTCCGGTTTTGACGAAAATCATTTCAATAATTAATATTATTTTAATATCGGAATTTCGAGAATATTAAAAAAAAAAAAAAAAAAAGGAATTCGAACGGTTGGAATTTCAATTAAATAATAATAATAATAATAATAATTTTTATTCATTGTTATAGATTTTCGATAAATCGAACGATTTATCGAAACGATTAAATGAATTCCGAACTGTTTACGTTCGTCGGTCGGTTTTTTCAATCATCTTTCGCACGTTCGTTCGTTCGTTTTTAATAAACATTTTGCCCGAAAAAATAATTTTTTTTTAAAATGGCGCGAACCGGATGTTTCGGTTTGTTTTTTTTTTTGGTTCCGGTTTTTTTTTTTTTTTTTAATTTGAATTTTTTTTTTTTTTTTTTAGGATTGTTTAAACTTCAGGATTTAGTGAAATCACCGCCGAATTCAAAAATGGAAATGTATATAAGACAAGCTAATCCCACGACATATCGTCACGTATTAAAAGAGATACGACAAAAGGAAATATATAAATTATTGGTGGATACGAATCCCGTTCACACAAACGTATTTTTCAGAGCCGTGAGTTTTTCTTTCTTTTTACGGTTGTTTCTGTTTTCCTTCCTTTAAAAACTTTATAATTTCCGGTTTTCCTAATAAAACGTCATCATCATCAACATCTTTTCTCTCTGTCTTTCTCTTTTTTTTCGTGAAAATTTTTTATTTAATATTTAAATTTTTATCGAAAACCGTTAGGAAAAACCTTATTATTATTATCATCACCCGTATTCGTTTTAAATTTAAAAAAAAAAAAAAACAAAATCGTGGAAGCGTAAAAAAATTTTTTTTTTTTTTTTTTTAACTCGACGCGAAAAAAAAATAATGATAATAATAATAATAATAAATCTTAAGCTCGGTTCGTTTGTTTTTAATTGACGTGTAACTAGACATACGAACGACGTGATAATTATAACAATTAATTAAAAACGGATAAAACGTTGATAATAATAATTTTTTTCCACGAGAATAATAAAATATTAAATGTTTAATTGTAGAAAAAAAAAAAAAAAAGAGAAAATTTCAAAACCGGAAATCGATAATTTAGTGAAATAATAATAATAATAATAATGAGAGTTATTTATTTTTTTCTGCTACAAAAAAAAAAAAAGAAAAAAATTATTTAAAAATAAACTTTAATTAATTTAAAAAAAAAAAAAAAATGTTTTTCATCGAGTATTAATTATAAATATATTTTTTTGATGTACGATAACAATCGACAAACCCAACAAAAACAAAAACAAACAAACAAAAATACGAAACGTGTTTATAATGAGAACGAGGAAAAAGTCGGAAAAATTTTTGTTCCGGCGGAAGAATAAATAAAAAAAAAAAAAAGGAAAAAAAGATACACAAAACGGAATTCGATGTTTAAAAAAAAAAACGGTTGGCAGACTTGGAATTGACGACAATTGAAAAACAAGGGTGGCAGGACAGCCTCTGTCATTCGCAGATTAGTTAAAAATTTTTTGGGTATTTAAAAAAAATTTAATATAAATTAAATAAATAAATACGACGACGACGTGGAAAAAACAACAACAACGACAATATTTCGTGTCTCTAAAATTATTTTTTCGGTTTATTTATTTTTTTTGTTATGTTTTTCCCACTGTTTCTTTTTTTTTTTTTGCAAAATGGCGACAAAATAAAAATCATAAACGTGAATAATTTTAAATTTGATTGTTTTTTTTTTTTGTTTGTATTATTTTCACTCTGTTGGCGTATATTTTATTTTTACGGATAAATAATTTTTGGAGACAGAAAAAGAATCGAAGAGAGAGAAAGGGGGGAGTGGGTGGGGAAGAAAGAGAAAGAAAGGAAGTGTGAAAGAGAGAGAGAGAGAGTAGAGAAAATGTTACCGAAAGAGGAAAAGTGAGAGGTAGAGAAACAGGAAAAGAAAGGAGTAGAGAGAGAGGTGAAGGAGAAAGAGAAAGAAAAGAATAGAAAAAGGAAGAGAGAGAGGAGGAAAGGAGAAAGAGAAAAAAAGGAAATATGAAAGAGGAAGAGAAAGAGAGGGGGAAAAGGAACAGAGTGAAAGGAAGTATGAAAGAGAGAGAAAAGTTAGATGTGAAAATGTTAAGTGAAAGAAAAAGAACGAGAGGTACAGAAACAGGAAAAGAAAGGAAGAGAGAAAGGGGAGGAAGGGGAATGTGAAAAAAGAAAATTGAGAGAGGGAAAGGGGGAGAGATAAATTTTTAATTTATTTCTTTTTGTAAGTCGGATACGAATTTATGTTAGCAATCCTGAAACGTGGCGGGAAAAAAAATCACGTGATTTCTTTTACACATTCAAAACCGTCTGATTTTTATTATTTCCCTCTCTCTCTCTCT